CCGCCCCACCCCCTGACAGTCTGAATAGCAAAAAACATGATGTGTATGTAACAGGACATCATAGTTTACTGGTATGCACATGTCTATTTAAGATAGGAAACTGCTAAAATTCTATGACCTCGGGAGCGAATTTATATTTTTTGCGTTTAATGTTTGAGTTGAACGAGTTTTTTCAATTATAAATTCTACATATCATGTATTCTACCTTCTGTTCTCCTTGTAGTTTGTTCGTCTTCGACAGCAGGGCTTCGCAAATATACAAAACGCAATACGCAGCAGACAACACGCGAGCCCCGCCACGATCAGTGAGGGACCCACCAGACGAAGCGCTGGAGTTTTGAAACCCTGAAAAATTGAAAATAGAAAAAAATTTAACTTGAATTATAATAGAAAAGTTAATATTCGGAATGGAAATCACGAAATAACTATTAAGAGAAACATTTTTTGTGTGGACTTTAACAGGCAATCTATCTTTAAAACTTTCAGAAAACGTGAGTACTAACTTATACTAGATTTAATTTAAATGTTAAACTATTGAATTTAGTTGAAAAATCATTAAAAGTAGGTAATATATAATAGAAAATTATGTACGTCGAAAAGCTTATAAGCTGAACAGAGCTTATTTTTCATGCGCATGTGGTTTTGTATTAATTAAATTAGTGTCCGCAATGTAACATTCATTAAAATTAATGAAGTTATTAAATTCAACGCTGGTCACATCCAGCGGAATGGATAAAGGTCGTGTGTTACACCGCAAATCATTTTGTCGCGTGTTTCAAGTTTCCTGTTTCCGGTTAGATAAAATATATTGGAGCAGGCTTTAAAATGTTTTAAAACGGCTTACTGTCTATTTTATTTCAGACTGATTTAACTAAGTGGCTATAGAAAATACAAAGTTTTTCGATTTAGTTGAGTTTTATGTTGTCGTAGTTTTTACTGCCTTTAGAGGAAAGGATCTTGTACAGGCGGTTAGGTAGGGAAGACAAAGAGGATGAGGCTTTCAGACCTATCCACATGGTAACTGATTGTTCAGCTTAATTGCGTATTTATTAAAACAACAATGCAATATGTACCTTGTCGCCGGTTCCAACGAAATACACAACGAGTCCAACGGCCAGTGTGGCCAGGCCGGCGTACAACAGGCGTGCGACACCCCACGGCTCCCCGCTCGCGCCCTCCGCCTCGCCGTCCGAGTCCGAAGATGAACCGTACGACGCATCCCGGACCTGAAGGCTCATGATCATAAATAATAATACCCCTAGACATATATCCAGTCACTTGAATCAGAAACTCTCACGCTCGTGCATTCATACAGAAGTAACCAAGAGACGCGTATCTACTGCTACGGCGTAGCTTAGCTGCGGCTACGGCGTAGCTTAACTACGGCTACTTATGATGTAGCCGTTGTAATAGATAATCTTAATAAAGCCTTTCTGTTCAATGTCTCCAATCGGATTTACCTAAGTCTAACAATATTTTTTTTTAATCCGGTGAACATTTTTAAATCATACCTTTCACAATTATGCTGATAAAGTTCTTTTTGAAATCATATTACATAATTTTTCATTATCTTATTTACATAAGCATTAGTAAAAATTAGCAATAGCAAAGCGAAGTCAGAATTAAATTTTTAATTTGGTTGCTTCGTATAAAAATTAAAATTTCAGGCACAGCTTTAGACGATAATAAGTTAAAAAATACTATATTATGTAGAGAAATAATGCAGGAAGATTAAAATTTAATTAAATATCTAATTAGAAAATAAATAATTAAAAAAGGAATCTAACGAAAGTGTAATTAATTAAAATAAATTAATTTAATCATGCACTAATTATACTAAAAATGATAAAAAAATTAACTATTTTAAAAACACTATTATTAAATTTAAATTAAAATACATTACCCATGTTAAGTCAGTGGTTATGTGCCAGTCGTTTTAAATATATATTTACTTTGTTACACTTTGTAATTTTAAATAATCATTAACCTTTCTTTTAAACAACATAGAAGTATAGAAAAAAGTCAAAATTGAAATAGATTTAAGGATAAGATAAATTTTGTAGTGTTGTTACTTTTCATTTGTCTTTAAAAGGTTACTAGACTTAATATATTAATATATTAATAAGAAGAGAAATTGAGATATGTGTAAAACTAGATGTATTTCAAACAAAATGACATAATTTTTGGAAACATTAAACACATTTCAAACAAAAGATATTTTGACTGATAAGTTTGAAAAAAAAATCTTGAAAAGACTGATGTGGAATAGAAAATACTAAGAGAAATACTGGGTTAACAAAAAGTTGAAGAAGAAAACTAAAAAAGGGCATATTTCTAGACAACTGGATAACTAAAGGGCGTCATCTACGACAAGAGGGTCTACGACAGGGGGTCCTCTACGAGAAGGGGTTTAAACCGGGAATCCTGGCGTCGGTATTGAAGATTCGTACTTTTTTGTCGCGGTGAGCTGTGCCATGCAGTGGGACGCGTTTGCTCTTGAGGATTACCCTGTTGTTGCGGTGCCACTTGGCGCGAGGATCGCGGCGGGCGCCAGGGTGGTCGCCGGGCACGGAGCAGCGTCGCGCCGCGCCGCCCGCTCCACCTGCACCGCCGCCCACCGACACGGCCGCCGCCTCCTGCCACGCGGCGCGCCCAGCTGCGCACTACACGCACAACACTATTAATATATTTCTTATTTCCGAAGAATTGTAGTTAAAGTTGATGGAACTACTCTCAAGTGGATAGCCGATTAAAGATTCTGTGACAAAATAAAATGAATGACCATCCCGTTAGATACTAGGCAGGGTTTCTACGCTGTGTAGTCTTTTACCTTCCGAAAAACGGAGTGAAGACCTGCGGGGCAGTGAGTCGAGTGTCACATCGGGAGTTGTCGGACGGTGTCACAAATTATTATAGAAGTATCGGTTTTATAGCGCACAGTGTCGGTTCGGTGTTCGTTTCAGTGGAGTGGTGCATCGAGTGTATTAGGAGTGCAGCATTGCTTCCACATAGACTATTTAATAGTGACTTATTTGACTGGATTTATACCGACAGAGTGACCAACCACCTAAAGGTGGTGAACAGAGCACCGAGTTGGTAAGTACCACTTCATAAATTTACTACACATAGTCTAACGATGATTGTAGCAGGGCTATCCGTACCCTTTGTTTACGGCTCAAAGGGGATACACATGTGACAATGTTTTCTAAAACATAATACGTAGACTGCTTCAAGCAGGTCTATCAACAGATCACTTTCCTCATATATGAAAGACAGTTTCCGATCGCCACTAAAATAATGTTGGCTGTACACTAACCTTTTCAAGCTGTCGATAACTAATGCACAAAATAGTCCGTGTACGTCCGTGCACAATTTATTCGTCCTCTACAGTTAGTTAAATAGATTTTGATTACTACTGCAGAGTTATTACCGGCTAGTTTTAATCTTAAGCACTTCAACTAGACTTTGAGTTTCCCTTTAAAGTTTAAAAGTAAATTAATTACGCTTTTAGATATTACTACTCTGTGAATATTGAAGTACTCGGCTACAAAGAAAATTACAAAAAGGACTCGTTAAAAAAATTGCACATACCCAAATAACCCGGATTGTTAAAAATATAAAACCATAAAGCAATTAGAATTCTTTTCGTTTGTTTACTTTAGTTTCTTTTTAAATAAATGTACGAGAATAGTAAAAAAAGGAGATAACATTTCGTAAAAACAACATGTCTGTTTTTTTTAAATATATAAGAAATATTTTGCTTTACTTAAAATCGAACCATACTTCAACTGTTAAATGTACTTAAGCCTGCTAAAGTGGATATCGTATTCGTTTAAAGGATTACAACACGTTTAATTTAAACTTTTAATTGCGGATGTTTGAAACACTTTACATACCTCTTAGTCGACGTATTACTGAAATTTTAATCTACAGTTTACTAATTTATTAACACGGAAATTAAAAGTAGGTACTTGTATACGAGTTGTACAAAAAGATTTTTCTAAACCTAAAACTGTACCATGGACGAATATTATATTTTGAATATTTATCATAAGATGTTATTGGCCTTACATTCTTATTCTTTTCCTAAATGAACAAACTTTTGTAAATGTTTTTATATAATGTATTTATATAAGCTGTTTAAATGCTTTCACATCGTTAAATATATAAGTAGATTTCCGAATAAAGTTCTTTCAATTTAATCCCTTTTTACTTTGTCTTGAGAATACTTAAAGATTATAACAAAATCTAATAATTTCGTAAAACGTACGAAAAAATAATATAATTTTTAGTATAACAATAGTAGTTCGCGTCGAGTGGCACTTTGTTCTTATGAAATAAAACTATCAACGTTGAATAGGTCAAGTTCTTTTTTTGTCCTCCACTCGACTTTCAGAGGTACTCACTATTTCAAAGCTAACTACCATATTTTATTTAAAAGGAATACAATTTCGTGTATCAGAAGAAAAAGGTTCTTTACTCTCTGATTGTAAAGACAAAAAAAATAGTAAATATAATCAGAATTCATTTTTTAATACTGGCAACTTCAAGCAAGCCTCTGGTTCGCAAAAGTAGAATAATAAAAAAAATCAATAACCCTAACTGAATATCTTATGACATTCCGTTTAATGGAATCAAATTGTCTCTGGTCAGAATTGCTTTTGCCGATTAGCTAACAGTGACCTCATTTAATTTAATATTTGCAAATACATTACCTTCCTATTAGTTAAACAAAAATATACCCAAGAGTTGTTATAGAAGATTTTCTATGTGTTTTAAATAGTTTAGTGGTTATTGATTCTATCCAGTACAATAAAAAACTTTTGGTTTTATAAATCTGATTCACGAAACATTTCTGAAGATACCTTTTACTAAACATCGAAACATTCATAATCATTATAAGCTCACTATACGTCTCCACTGAGGGGCACGGAGCCTACGCTAAGTTACGGCTAGGCCATAGTCAACCACGATGACTTAGTCGGGTTGGTTGACTCCACACATATCTTTGATTTTTCTGTGTAGGTTTTATCAAAATGTTTTCCTTCACCGTAAGAATTATCATTCGCATTTATGATATTAGTATCAAGTTAAAAAGTATTAAAAAGTTTATGCAATGTATTTCCTACTAATTTACAAGTAAAGAAGTATAAGTACATTGTTTAAGAGAGTCTTCATAAGATCGTAATTGTAGGAATAACGCGAGCTAACAAAGTTCTCATCTCACAGCTTTAGCCGTGCATATAATTACCACTTCAATTGCTAACTTTGAACGCGCTACGAAGATGAGTAAGTTATTAACGTGATATATTCATGAGACAATTTAATTTTTAATATTATGAAATTTAATGCAGGAAAATTACAATTTGTAATTAGGATTACATTCTAGATGCAGTTTCAAATTATGACTAAAACTTTGTGAAAGTAATGGTAATTCAAGAAATCAGTCACTACTCTGTCAGTCAGTAATGAAGAACGAAGAGTCAATTTGTTCAGTTAAAACAGAACGACTGTAGCGGGTTTTATGTTTTCTATACTTATTCCGTTCAAACTGTTAGATAATTTAAAGTGAAGTTGTATAATATGGATAGCTTAATCTTACTTGTTACTAATATTTTAAATAATATTAAAATTATAAACGCGAAGGCGATGGATGGATGGTTTGTTTGTTACCTTCATGATACTTCCGAGACGGCTGAACGGACCTAGCTGAATTTTACATAGATGTAGAACATAGTCTGGAAGAACACATAGGCTACTTACTATACTGTACTACTTATGTTATATGTTTCGCAATAAAACTAAGAATAATTTTAGTCACTTCTATTGAATAATGTTTCTTGTTCTGGTAGGAATATGTTTATTTGAAAATTATCTACGCACGAACGAATGGAATGAATATTAGACGAAGTTAGTTAGGTTTAGATAAGTTTGTGACAGTTTTAATTAATTTTAAATTAACTTGATGCAAACAACGTAAACTTCAGAACATATAATTAATGTAAGAGTTAATGTATTTTGTAAGCTACAGTGTGAAGATAATCGAATACTGTTAAATGTATAATATTCTACTGACTGAAATCCTGTATAAAATATTGTTTTTTTTTTCTTTTAAAACACAATTCAATAAACAAAATCATTCATCTGTTGTAATCGGATTTAAATACCGACAACGAAGAGAATGTAATTGGATAGCATTTCATGCGATTCGAACTTTAAATGTTAAGTTTTATAAATATTAATAACTAGCTGTCGCACGCGACTTTTTCCGCGCGGCATAAAAATAACTTACTAAGTACTTTAGTAGTAGAAATTTTGCATAGATATAGAACATAGTCTGGTAGAACACATAGGCTACTAATTATGTTTTTTTTTTTAAATCCGCGCGGACGGAGTCGAGGGCGACACCTAGTTACATATAATATCATGGCTATTATAGTATACACATCACGTTTTCGATAGGACAAGGCAATAGGCCAATAACGCCTTACGCCTCCGATATTGGTCCGTTTGCTATATATCATGTCGAACACAAACGGATACAAAGAGTGCAATAAAACCTTCGCAAAATAGCCGTAAACAATGCCTATTTATTTATTAGCTAGCCGTTCATTGTGTGCCTTAACAATATTACTTTAATGTTTATTTAGTAATTAGGCCTTTGTGTTCTGTTCTGTTACCTGTTCTCTTCTAGTCTAATAGCTTTTAATAAGAAACAGTTAATTATGTAGCGACAACCCTGTCTTTAAAGTCATTCAACCTGTTCAAACTACAGGATGTTACATTTTGTTTAAAGATTACTTATTATTTTTTCTAACTGTTTATATGAAAGTCATATTAAATTGCAAATAAAATAATCTACTTTATCATAACAGCTAAAAGAATTACAATCTTCTGAACATAAAATATGTAAATGATCTCATTTATTTAAAGCCCTTTAAGTTTAAGCGCTTTTTGTCACGAGACAATTTTCTACACCCACGAGGTGCGATGTCAATATCCGATAGGATATTTTGAACTATGCAGCAAGAAAGGGCTAAATAAAGGGATGTTGGTGCCTTATTCCACTTAGCGGATAGCCTTGCGATTCTGTCCACGCACAACATTTTTTTTTCATTGATTGAACATTGATTATTTCGATACGTACACAAAGTTGTATATAAGATAGTAAAATAAATACTTTACCAAAATAAAAGGGCATGTATTTAATGTAATGAGAGAGGAAATAAGTCGGTAAAAATACAGCATTGTAATTATTTTTATAATATTAAGATTGTGTTAGGACAGTGTAACCTTTCGTTTTCCAAATCCCTTCACGATAATATACATCCTTTAACAAAAAAGAAAAACAAAAAATCATGCATATTCACGTTTAATTTTTATACAAGGCAAAAAGCGTCCGTCATAGTTGAGACAACGCTTCATTTTAATTAAAGAAAAACTGCTCCCTCGTAAAACCTTCCATCCTCAAAGCTTTGTATCCTTTGTAAGGGGAGAAAAATTATTCCAAAAGAAGTTATTTACTCGTCTATCGCATGCCGTGATAGCGTGCGCCGCGCCCACCGTATAATAATAATGGTTTTTTTTACTCGTATAAATCAAGCTTTAATAATTGCGAAGGAGTTCAAATTATCATAATACGTAGAATTTTTATGTCACCCCG